TATGACAAATAGATTTCATATACTGGAACAAATAAAACTCTGGAACAAACGGTTGGAAGCAAATTTAGTATAGAAAAGGTGAATGTAAATCATTTTATGACCAAGAATCTAATTTCAGGTAAGTTTTTAAGGAAGAAGGGCCCTTTGTTAAATGGCTAAATTAAAATTTTTTTCAGATAAAAGAGTTAGAATTCATAAATATTTCAAAATTATCTTAATTTTGTAGTAATATTTTTTAAAATGTTGTTGTATTTTTATACCTTTATTTATTTTTATGTGGTGCTGAGGATCAAACCTAGTGCCTTACACATGCTAGGCAAGCGCTCTACCACTGAGCTAGAGCTGCAACCCTTGGAGTAGTATTTTAAATCACTTAAAATGTTTTAAATATGAAGTATATCAATAAACTACAAAAATCACTGCTGCAAACCAGCATGTTATCTACAGAAGAATTCAATCCTACAAATTACCCCAAAAAGAGTAAAAAAAAAAAAAAAGAGAGAAAATTAATAGATGTTCTTATTAATTTAAATGAAGGACTTTTTTAAAAATTTTAAATACAACTGAAAGGGCTGGGGTTGTAGCTCAGTGGTAGAGTGCTTGCCTAGTATGTGTGAGACACTGGGCTCAATCCCCAGCACCACATAAAAATAAGCAAACAAAATAGAAGTATTGTGTCCATCTACAACTTAAAAAAAAATACAACTTAAGACTTCAAAGGTGGAAAAAATTTCAGAAAAGATGAACAAACATTGTCTACAAGCCTAGTTCCTGGGTCTCAACATAGCTTTATTTAGAAGATGGCTTTTACGTTGTGGTCCATTTGAAGCAACAAAGTCATCATCCTTAACCAAGCAGACTGCTGAAAAGCATTATTTTTAGATAAAGGTTTTATCTCAGTGCACTTGAATCTAAAAATTAAAATTACAGTCAGGTTAGGGAATTTTCACTATGAATAATCTCAGTGCAAGGAAAGAAGTGGCAATCAACCTGACCCACAGCAACAGTTGGAAAAGCAGGTTAACAAAGCACACTCAAGCAAGTTAAAACCATCTCAAGTCAAGAGTCACAGTCCTTGGGGCTGGGGATGTGGCTCAAGTGGTAGCACGCTCGCCTGGCATGCGTTCGGCTCGGGTTCTATCCTCAGCACCACATACAAACAAAGATGTTGTGTCCACTGAAAACTAAAAAAAAAAAATATTAAAAAAAAAAAGTCACAATCCAAAGAACCATGCACTGTTGTTTTGGCACCTGCTCTTGACTGACGTCCTGTAGTGACAAATGATAATATATATATATATATTTATTTATACATGGATATAATATCTGTTTTGTTTATTTTTTTTTTTTATGTGGTGCTAAGGATTGAACCCAGAGCCTCACATGTGTGAGGCAAGCACTCTTTACCACTGAGCCACATCCCCAGCCCAAGCCAAGCACTTTTAATCCTTTACTTTAATCCATGCACTTTTAATCCTTTACACCTGGAAGGAAATCTGAAGATGGGGAATGAGGTAGCAAATTAATCCATTCTAGGGTAACTTACATAATTACAGCCTCTGATAACACCTGATATATTGGTTAAAAACAACAGTAGTGTCTATAAGATATTTTAAGATGTGTGTAACACACACTTTCTAAAACATGAAATGAACTTGGATTTTGAGGGGTTAAGAAAATAAGAGTTGTAAGACATCTAAAAAGACATTAATTTGCATAAGTGAGAAACATAGTTTAAGAATGAATATAAGGTACAGTGAAAATTCTAGTCCATTGTTTTTATAATACTCATTTCTTCCTGGTTAAAAAAAAAAAAATGGTGGCATGTACCTGTATTCTCAGCAACCCAGGAAGCTGACGTGGGAGGACAGCAAATTCAAGGCCATGCTCAGAAACTTAATGAGAACCTGTCTTGAAATTAAAAAGGGTCTGGGGATGTCACTCCCCAGTATCCCCTGTCAAAAAAACATTTTCCTTAATACTTTATAAAAACCAAGACTAAAAGGGGGGAAAGCAAGGTAAACAAAATGAAAAAAAAAAATTTCTACCTTTTCTAATACTATATATACAATACCATGAATTTATACAAGTTTTGTCTCCAGCAAAAGTTTGGTTGTTTTTTTATTAAACTGACACTCAGTTTTAATCAACTCAATGTTAGACTTTCATTCACTTTCTCCGTTTTCTGAGTGAACTGGATGGGTTAGCAGCCGCTCTCAACACAATCTGGTTGGTATCTCCACTGGTTTTTTAGATAATTCACTCATCAAACCTTAACTCTCTTTAGGCTACAGAATCACTGTATCATCTATTCAACTTACCACCATTAAAGGAACAATAGAAAACTGACATGATTACTAGTAAGCCAAAAATGTTTCTCTAAGAAGTAGTAATAGTTCCATTAGGAATAAATATTTGATGCTTGCAAAAACTATAGCTTTTAGTGCTTCATTTTCTGCTGTAATACAAGAGAGGTGGGTGTAATGTTAAAAAGCTGCAATAAATCAAGCCATTTTGAGCAACAATTTGGATTCTCATCTTTCACTGCACTGTGACAGAACCCTCTGCACTGTTTTCTATAAGTAACCCATATTTAACAAGTTTATTAAAAACAAAACCAACCCCCCCCAAACTGCCAGTCTTTGTGAAGCACCATATGGACCATAACAATAATACATTCATTTTTAAAGGTTTTTTAAAAACTTTATTTATTTTTAATATGGTGCTGAGTATTGAACCCAGTGCCTCACACATGCTAGGAAAGTGCTCTACCACTGAGCCACAATCCCAGCCCCAATACATTCATCTTTATTTTCTAAGAGCCTACAACCTAAAAATGCTGAAAAGGATGTAGCTGAGCACAGTGGCCCATGCTTACAATCTTAGCTACTTAGGAGGCTGAAGCAGAAAGACCTCAAGTTTGAGGTCAGTTCTTAGCAAAAACTGTTTCAAAAAAAAGAAAGGAAAAGCTGTAGCTCAGTGGCTGAGGCCTGGGGTTAAATCCTCACTACTACAAGGAGTAAAAAAAAGATTTTTTTTTTGTTGGGGATGATGGAAAAGTTTTGGGTACAGATTGTAGTGATGATTACACAATGCTGTGAATCTGTTACTAAACTGTAAAATTATGAATGGTTAAAATGATAAATATTATGTATACTTTTAAAAAAAGAGAGATGCAATTATATTCATTAGTGAGCTAGCTGTAAAATATACTCAAGTCCCCAATCTTTCTGCATTTCAGTTTATTCATCTGGAAATTTAAGGAAGTTGGAGTGGATGATCTAACTTTCTTGTAAAATTCTTGTAAAGTATGTGGTAGTGGGAACTGGGAAGTAAAGAAATATTAAGCTATTTGGACTTGTTGGAGGTCACAGGAACTATGTGATGCCATGATGTCATCCAGATCTCCTGACTCTTGGTACAGTATTAATTTTACAAAACTAGTGATTTTACTTGTGTGCTAAAACACAAAGCCAGAAAAGGCAAAGAAATGTCAAAGTCTCCAGGTGCTACTTTAGCCCCCCGTATACTTAGTGTCTCTTAAACCTATTGTTCAGTTTTCTCTAATCTCTAAGCAGTACTGCATGTTATTTCCTTTCTGAAAATATAAATTATATTACTTCTAAAACACACACACACACACAAAGTAAAAAACACAATAAATCTTGACTTTTGGACGACAGCCAAATTTAAGAGATTTCAACCTATCTCCTACCAATGTAGATAGTTTCTTCTTCTTGTCCAAAGTTCCATTCTGTGTGGTTCTGAAGTGGGCCTCCACATCTTTTTTTTTTTTTTTTTACCCTGAGACACTTCTACAATGCCACAGCAGAATAAACACATATGGTGTGAGAAGCAATGCTAGTTCTGACTCCAGGATTGTTTTGCAGAGTGGCCTCAGCAAGATCATATTACCTCTTTGAAGTTTCAATTACTTCACCCATATCCAAAGAAAGTTATAAAGTGACTAGTAAGTTCAAACTAGTGAGTGCTACATTGGATGCTGTTTCATCCTTCTTGGCGTCTTTCTATGCTGTTTTTATCTGAGGGTTGAGGAATATATCTTATATTTAAGTAGTCTTTAAAACACATCTTTTCCCTCCCTTCACCACGTTTGTAATCATCCTCTAACAACTGAACTCTTGCCAGTTAGTCTTCTAAAATGCTACATCTTCCGTGAAAGGCAGGAACCCAAAAGCTACCTTCTAGTGGTAGCAATCAGTATTTTCAATACTTTAAGAAAACATTTCACTTTACTGTTCTCTGGCACATTATGACATCATTGCCTTCCAGTGTTTGCTCGGTTCATTAAATAATCCTGTTTCTATTTGTTCCTTGGCCTTCAATACACAGATTGCAAATGTCCAATTTCAGATGCTGGGTTAAAGATCCAGTGAAGAAACTGAAAAATGTCTATCTGTACATTTTGCTCGGTGAATACACTTTCTATTATTGCAATTATTTAGAGAGGTCAACCTCATCAAAAGGCAAGCTCTGGACAAGATCAAATAGCAAAAGGCCCAAGGTGGGGCGGGGTCAGTCGCCAACCCTAGCACGACAGATTCTAAAGCGTCCAAGACATAAACAAAGGAAGTTGATTTTCCTACAAGGCGCATGCATTAGCCTCAACCTACTTGAGGCATTTGCGTGGAAGCCACTGCGCTCACAACCTTGAAAACCCAAGACCGAATGCTGGATTTTTGTAAGGATTTGCATTATGGGTGGACACCCCGCAAGTCAGTGGAGACACTGACGGATGGGGAAGAGAGTGGGACTATCTCCATTCCTCCCTCCCACTCCACCAAAGGAGGCCGTAAAAACCTACCAACCTACACGGACCAACCAGCACCTCCGCTGCTCGTCATGCAATTCTCAGGAGCAGAAGAAAGAAGGGGTTGAAGGGCAGATGGAAGAGAAGCCAAGCTGAGCAGAGTGGTGGAGGGCAGCGGGCGCCCGCGAACGCGCGAACGGCTAGATGCGGGCGCGGGCCCTTTCCTCACCTGGCAGCCCTTCTTGTGGTGAAAGCCGACCACCACGATGTGCAGGACGGGCCCCCGGGGGCCGCCCTCGCTACCGCGCCCGGCCTTCTCCATGGGGCCCGCACCACGACGACTTCAACCGCCAAGGCCGGAGGGCCGGACGACCCCGCGGTCCTCGGAGGCCCGAGAGTGGCGGGCCTCAGGTGTCAACGAGAGGGCCGCATGAGGGCAGCGCAGGGGCCCCGGAGGAGAGCAGCTCCCGCAGCTCCGCGCCGCCCCCCGCGGCCACCGCCGCTCTTCCTTCATCCGCTTCCGCGGCTTCCGGGCTGTCACCTGATGCGGCGGCAGCCGCCGGCGGGGCGAAGCGGGGCAGGAACCGGGGAGGAGCCGGAGGGGAAAGGGCGGAGCCTGGGAGGGGCGTGGTTAGAGGAAGATAGGTCTCCAAGACGGGGGCGTGGCCTTCGTGGTAGGTGGGCAGGGTTCATACGGAGAGGGCGTGGCCAGGGAGGAATCAGCGTGGGGGTAAGGGCGGGGCCTCTGGGAGGTCCTGGGGGCGCTGTTGGTCACACCTGCTTCTCTTTCTTGAGATTTGACGTCAAGTTTTTTTCTCCTCCCGTTGTTATCTATTCTTCCTCCTTAAAATCTCTGCCCCTTCCCTCCTTGTTCCTTAGCTTGCTTTCTTTGTGAACATCTTCTGTTCTCTCTTTAAGACCTCCACCCTCAGGCTTAGAGTCTTTCTGCTCTGACATTTATTTAAATATTTAAAAACAAGGAAGCAGATTGGCGAAGCTGAGTATCTTGTGTATTCAACCTTTAAATTGCTTACTTACCCGAGATTGCCTTTTGTTTTCTTCTTGGTTTGTTTTCTCATTTAAAATTTGTAAGACTTTGGGGGCAAAAAAGAGTTTGGAAGCTTTTTTACGGCCTAAAGCAGAATATCCTTGACAATAAAGGATGTTTACATGGAGACCTGTAAAATGATTATCTAGTCCCAAGATTAAATTTTTTTTTCATTCCATCTTTTCATGTGTATACTATTTAGCTTAGCACAAAATATATGGATCTGTTTGTCTAGGGTTTAATTCCTTTATTGATTGTATTATTTCAAAATTTTAAATCTACAAATCTCATATAAATTTAAAGTGAATAATAGAAATGCTAGCAGATTTAAAAAGTCATAGCCAGGGAAGTTTGAGAATTAAATAATGTATAGCTGCCTGCTTCAAATACAATTTGATATTACTATAATAACTGGAATTGAAGCATATCTTGCCTAAGTTGCACGTCCTTTAGTATGGGCAACTTTAGCATTTGATATTTTCCATATCTTGTCTTGAAATGTAAAAGACTTCCATTCTAATCTAAGGATACCTGAGAAAAACAGCAGTTTTCGAGTCAAGTTTAATTTCTATGATTCAGTAGAACTGGTTTTTTTTTTTTGGTGGAGGGGTACCAGGGATTGAACTCAAGAGCACTCAACCACTGAGCCACATCCCCAGCCCTATTTTTGTATTTTATTTAGAGACAGAGGCTCACTGAGTTGCTTAGTGCCTCACTGTTGCTGAGGGTGGCTTTGAACTCTCGATCCTCCTGCCTCAGCCTCCTGAGCTGCTAGGATTACAGGTGTGTGCCACCACGTGAGGCCAGTAAAACTGTTTTAATGTTAATAAAATACTGAGAATTTTCAGTATGTTGCCATCCATTTTTTTATATTACAAAACTTGGTATTGGCTCAGAAATGTGTGTAAAATTATATTGTTCCCTATAAATGGAATTTGTTAGTTATTTCTTGATATGTTACTTGTTTGATATGTCAACTATTTGATGTGTTAACATTTTCTTGATGTAAACTGCCCTGATATTTCCAACAATTGGTATAGCTAAAGTTTAAGTCTTACTGAAAGCCTTTTTTTTGAAGAGAGAGAGAATTTTAATATTTATTTTTTAGTTTTCGGTGGACACAACATCTTTGTTTTGTATGTGGTGCTGAGGATCGAACCCGGGCCGCACACATGGCAGGCTATCACGCTACCGCTTGAGCCACATCCCCAGCCCAAAACTAACTGAAAGCCTTTTAAAGAAATGTAAGGACAGAGCATCTTAGATCTCTGTCTACTGAGTAACAGCTTTTATATATGTGTGTCACTTTGCATCCTGGAGCTTTCACCTAAGACTAAATCATCTATTCATATCTGTTATGTTGGTTAAATGTTAAAAAAAAAAAATTCTTGGGGCTGAGGATATAACTCAATGGTGGAGAACTTGTCTAGCATGCAAGAGGTCCTGGGTTTGACCCTAGTACCTTTAAAATAATACTATAAACAAAGGAGATATGTAACTGGGAAAATTGGGAGAGAAAAATAAGCAAGGGAATTTCTAGTATTTTTTTTCTGTCTGCAAATATACAGACTGATCCATTAACAATTTAGAATAACAACTTCTTTACATTATTATCATTTTGCTGATAAACAAGTGTTTAATGAGACACTGTTCTTCACAGAGGTGACTATAGAGACTTATAAAAATTATAATCCAGGGATACATATCCAGGCAGCACAGATCTGAAATAAACTGTTGTCTTACCACAATTAACCTGTAAACTGACTGCAACCCTTCTCTCCCCAAACAACCTGAATCTCACACAAATACAGTTATGGGTAAGGGAACCAGAAGCCTAGCTTTGTGGCCAAAAGTAAAAAACCAAAGGAAAAATAGCAATTCATTGGTTAGTTGGCAAAAGCTGAGAATTCAGTGCCCTTCACTGTGCTGCTTTGCTCTTCTTGCTCTTGCTGGTTTTCTCTGCAGCCTATCCATGTTAGCCCTCAATAGGTTTGAATAAGCCATCTGAAACTTTATTCACTTCTTTGGAGTCTACCACAATGCCGATCTTTTTTCCATTCATAGATCTTAACAGACATTTGTCTGACAGCTCAATTGTCTTCCACAGAACCTTTCCTCAGTGCAGGTTTAGTTCCACCTTCACATTTCTTCAATGTATGCGCCGAGGGACAACTGACACTTTGGAAGAATCTGGTCAGCTCCATCAGGAACTGCTGGCTTGCTTTCCAGGAGCAACATCACAGCACCGTGGGCTCTACTCTGCCAGCATAAGTCCCAAGCAGGTCTACGTTAGTTTAATTATTTATTTATTGGTACCAGGGATTGAACCCAGAGGCACCTAACCACTGAGCAACATTCCCAGTCCTTTTTTAAAAACTTTGAGACAGGATGTTTTCTTTATAGATGATGATTGAGAAACTGATTTTAAAAAATGGTACCAGATATCACAACAGTAACAGATTAAAAAAATTCTTTTTTTTTTTTGAGATAGGGTTTCACTAAGTTGCTTAGGACCTTGCTAAGTTGTTGAGGCTGTTTTTTTTTAAATTTTTTTTTTAGTTGTATAAGGATGCAATACCCTTATTTTATTTATTTATATTTATGTAGCGCTGAGGATTGAACCCAGTGCCTCACACATGCAAGGCAAGCGCTCTCCCACTGAGCCACAACCCCAGCCCCTGAGGCTGATTTTGTACCTGCAATCCCCCGTCTCAGTCTCCCAAGCCACTGGTCTACATTAGTTTTTAAACGAGTTCTATTAACGTTGAATAAATTTATTAACGTTGAATAAATTTATTAACAGGATATTCCCCACAAAGGACAAATATCTACTAGGAAAATAACACAAATTTCTCCTCTGTTTTAAAAAGTATTAGAAGTAGATTATCAAGACTGGAAACACCAATTTGAGATAATTGATTACTTTTGTGAAAGGAGACTTTTGGTTATATTTACACAATGACATTCAGCTCCAGGGAAAAAAATTAGAAATGCCTTTCTGAACACATAATACATTGGAGAGCCTCTTCAAATTACATACACTTTATGATGAATTATAAGTTCTATTTATGTCTGCTCTGCAAAAAAAGAACTAAAGGAAAAAAAAACCTTGAGAAATAGAAATATGACATTTTCAAGTTCATTAAAATTCCATCTGGAATTGGCCTGTTGTTTCTTTTTTGAGATCTTGCCTCAAAAAGAATACAATAAATAAAACCACTACCATTCTGTAGTCCTTATTAACTCTATTGTGTAATTGAACTATATGTGACGTATTTTTCAGTCTAAAGAGACTTTCTTTATTCTTTAGTGGCATTGAAAATTGCTAACATTCATTTTGTTCTTATAATGGAAAATTCAGAGCAATGACTTCCTTCCTTCCTCCCTTCCTTCCTTTTTTCCCTTCCTCCTTCCTTCCTTCCTTCCTTCCTTCCCAGTACCAGGGATTGATCCCAGAGACACTCTACTAATGAGCTACATCCCTAATTTTTGTTGTTGTTATAAGACGGGGTCTCACAAGTTGCCCAGGCTGACCTCAAACTTGTGATCTTGCTTCCTCAGCCTCCGGCATTACTAGGATTACGGTTGTGCATCACCTTGCATGGCCTCTTAAAGTATGCTTTTCTGATTTTTATACTCATATCTAGTAATGACAATGCCTTGAATTTGATCCATACTCTCAGTATGGTTTGGTGAAAATAAAATAGAAATAAGGATGGAAAAGAAAAACCAGAGAAAGAATAGGGCTTCACAAACAAAGAGCATAACATTGTGTTTAGAACCTTATGGAGATTAAGTAGAATATTGATGGGTATGAATGAAAAAGAATTTAATAAACATTCATTGGGAACTACAGTATACTGGAATTGTGTTAGGCATAGTGCATCAAACAGGATATTGCTGCCTTAAAGTGATTTATGTCTGATTATAAAATAAGATGAATTTTAAACCAGCTAATTGTGTAGACCCTACTCTAAGCCAACAATCATGTTAGGGAAACAAAGGTAAATAATAGTAGCTCAAATTTAATAGGTTTGCTATTTTCCAGGTCCTATGCTAACCTTTTTCATGAACTATCTCATTTAATCTTTAAAAAAAATTTTTGGACACCTTAATTATTTATCTTTTTATATGGTGCTAAGGATTGAACCCAGTGTCTCATATGTGATAGGCGAGCACTCTACCACTGAGCCACAACCCCAGCCCTCATTTAATCTTCATAGTAATTTCATAAATAGGTACTATTATCCCTTTTTTCCCCAAGTGGGTAAATTGAGACTTAAAAAGGTTAAGCAACTTGCCCATGTCAAATAATTACAAGGAATCATGGTGGAGCTGGAGTTTGAATCAGTCAATGGATTTAAACACTACACACTACTGCTTTACAATATTCTTTGCCTCAAGGAACTTAGTCTTTTAGGGAGAGATAGCCTTGTTAATAATTATAAGAAAATCACTGAAAACATTCTGATAGCTATTAGTATTGCTGCCAAACAATGAAAGAGTCCACTAAGTCTACAAGAGTCAGAGGTGATCATATTTGATAAGGGTCTTGAAGGATGTGCAAGATTTTACCTGAAGTGGGGGAAGGGGATCATAAAGTACATTAAAATAAAATCACTGAAGACCACTATTATGGAAATATATTTGGGAATGGAAGGGTTTTATGATAAACTTAGAGGAAGTATGTAAGATTTTAATAAAAACACAGCAGGAGAGGTATGGGGGTAGGTACATGCCACTCTATTTGGAATATTGCTCTTGCCCCTATTTTGCATGTTTAACTTTTATACACACTCTGAGACTAGACTTCTGTCAATTCCTTTGGCTGAGGGACAATTATTTGAGTACAAGGAATCTCGTCATACTTGTCTCAAAAGATGTTTGTAAAGGTTAGAAGTGTATTTGTTAAGTATTCTGGTACCTAGTAGGTGCTTGATATTTATGGATTGGGGTGGGGAAAAAGACAGATTTGTTGAAATTTAGAAACAAGTTGAGTTCTCCAGGATCTCTGAAGGTATAAAGAGGTTTTTTGGTTTTATTATTCATGGTGCCTTGTACATAAAGTTTGTACTTGTCTTTCTCCTCCATTCATCCTTAAGCAAGAATAGAAGAAGGTAAAAGAAAAGAGGCACTGAGAAGTTAATCACCAAAGCTGTAAAGATCAGACAGGTAAAGACTCACAAGCAAGTAAACATATTAGATTTTACAAATATAATTGGAAAAAAATAAAGTTCACCTCGTAATTTCACTGGATACTTACATGATTCTGGGAAAATCCATTTTCATTATGGTAGTACTACATAATGAATGCATTTCTAAAATCTATATTTAATTTAAAAAACTTTGTTCCTTAAGTTGTAAATAAGCTTTTTTTCTAGCTGCAGTGCACTGTACACCACAATTTATCGTTAAATACTTTATTTGTTGAAATTATATGTCAAACTCAACTGGTTTCATAAATGTTTTGAACATTAAAAAAAAAAGAGCAGAAGACCCTTTTTGTTCTGTACATTACTTTGTACTAAGCAAGTTGCTGGTCAAACAGTATTCAACAAATACATTGTGTTCCATGAAGGAAATTAATATTTATCAAGTATTTATTGCAGGACTTATTTTTTTTTGTGACATTTCATTTATACTGTTTAGCTTTAAGTTCCCGGAATACGAATGTAAAATGGACTAAGAATTTGTTTGCTTTCTATACTTTTAAAACAGAAGTGAAAAAGCATGCTTTTCTAAGTGTGATGACATTGACATATAGAGTGACTGACATTTGGTGGTTGCCCGTCAGACAATAATTATTTGGTGAAGAAATACTGAATGGAAAAGCCCATGTTAGACGCCTAGATATAACAAAACTAGTAAGACCTTAGGAAAAAAAAAATTAAGAAGTCCCAGTATAGAAAGTCTTTTTAAGTTAGTTGTGGATTTTCAATCCTCTGGATTTAGAAGCAGCAGATTCCTTAAGAAAACGAGTAGTGCCTGGCGCAGTGGCACAGGCCTTGCAATCCCAGTGACTCTGGAGACTGAGACAGAAGGATCACAAGTTCAAGTCTTATCAATTTGGCGAGGCCCTGTCTCAAAAAAAAAAACAAAAAACAAAAAAAAAAAAAAAAACCACAACAACAACTACAAAAGAAAAAACAGCTGGAGATGTGGCTCAGTGGTAAAGCGCTCCCGGGTTAAATCCGCCCCCCGCCCACTTTTTTTTTTTTTTTAAAGTAGTTTTTGCGAAAACTATAGAACAGACTTAGAGACGGGAAATTTGAATTTATTTTATTATTCTGAAGAAAGATACTGGCTTGAGATAAGATGCAACTTTCTAGGGGGAAATAAGGCGCCACAATGGTCTACGTATTTTGTAGTCCTCCGGATTGAGGGAAGGATTTATTCACGAAGCAAAATACCTTTAACGTTTTTCTGAAACTTCGAGGGCACGAAGGGCATCCGTCGAAATGGCTGAATATTCAGAGAAAGGAATTATTTCACTGAATCCCACTCTGTAAAAAAACAAAGCGGGTCGATACACGTGGACTGTGCAGATCGTACACTCGGCCTCCGATTGGTCGGGCCTGCTTCGGCGCCGGAAAAAAGCGGAAGCGCGCTCTTTTAAAGTCGCCGTTCTAACGTCGAAGGACGCTGGCCACTTCCGGCTTAGCCATGGCGGCCAACGCTACAACCAACCCGTCGCAGCTACTGCCGCTAGGTAATCGTCTTCCCTCTAGGAATCGGAGCGGGGAGCTGAGGTTGAGGACCTGGGAGCGAGGGGGAAAAGTATCGAGCGCTTTCCCGCTCGGCGGCTGGTCTGGACTCCAGGACTCCGGGCGCCAGGCCGCCGCTGCTCTCTAACGTGGTTTCGGAGGCACAGCCGGCACTGGAAAAGGTGTACACTTAATGAAAGGGGCCTCGGCTTTCTTTGTGGTGAACTCGCCTGTACCGTGCCACGGGTAGCCGCTTCGCTTCTCGGCTTGGCATTTAAGGTTCACAGATTAGATAGACCCTGTAAACTGTGTGGTCGGTTGAGCTTGGTGCCCCCGTCCGCAGCGAACCTTAAAAGAGGAATCTGTAAACTACTCCTTTTTGTCACGCATTCATCAAGTAGTTTGCAACACAGTATCTGGGTTCAACAGTGAACTTAAGTCACAGCCTTTGTGGGGATGGGGTTGTGGCTCAGTAGTAGAACGCTTGCTGGGTTTGGTTCTCTGCACCGAAAAATAAAGGTCCATCTACAGCTGAAAAATATATTTAAAAAAAATCACAGCCTGTGCTTTCGGACAGCACGCCAGTAAGAATAATGCTAAGCTGACTAAAGAGATGTTCGAGTTGCAGTCAGAACACAGATGGACTTCTTTGGATGAGGGAGGTAATGACAGGAAAGTTTCTGGTGAAGATAATTATGCCTCTTTCCTCCAATATGTAGTTGGTGAAGAGTGTTTGAGTTAGTGGATGTGACTGTGGTTGAATCATTTTCATTGGGCAGACTCTTTTGGAATGCCCCGCATATGTCAGACACGGAAAGAGTTATGAACAAGAATAACCATGGTTTGTGCCTGATGGACTGTAGAGTCAGAGAGAATGGGGTGTGTATGTGTGTGTGTATGTGTGTGTGTGTGTGTGTGTGTGTGTGTGTATTGCATTAATCATGTAATGTAAATAAAACTACAGTCATTAATAACTACAAAGAAGGGGTAAGTGGAGATCAAGGAAGACTTTTCTGTTAAGTAATGTTTGAACAGAAATTTGTTTTATGAGACCTAAAGTTGTTGAATGAATATTTTTCCTGGTTTAACTTTCACAATATACAAATAAGGCATGCCAGTAGGCACACTCTGTGCTGGGGATTGAACCTAGGTCCTCAGGTATGCTCAGCAAGCCTCCACCACTGAACCACACTCCCACTCTTTCAAATTTGTTGAAATAATGAATGGATAAAATATGTTTTCTCTACAGAGCTTGTGGACAAGTGTATAGGATCACGAATTCACATTGTGATGAAGAGTGATAAGGAAATTGTTGGAACACTTCTAGGATTTGATGACTTTGTCAGTATCCTTTCAAAAAGTGGTGGTGGTGGCCTAGGTTTTTAAAATGTATTTACTAATGCAGGTATGAGTTATAGACATTCAGTATATTTCTGACTGATGATAAAAATCATTTTATTTGGAGGAATCTGGTGATAGGATTGATTGTTAGAGTTATACTGAAAGAAGATGAAGTTCCTACCAATAACATGCCTTTTCAATTTGAGTCAATGTGTTAAACATAATTAAAACAGAACAAAAGCAGAAGCCAGAGTAAATTCAACCTGATATATGTATTTTCTTAACTCCAAATTTCAGATATGGTGCTGGAAGATGTCACTGAGTTGTAAGTAGTATCGAGGATTAAAGAATCAGGGGAAATGTCTGTCTTTTTAGTTAAATGCAATTATAGTATGATTGAGTCAGTAAAATGATAAAAAAAATTACTTATGGGATTACCTTAAAAACAAATTTTATTTACTGATATTTGTAAAATTGGATCAGAGGGTTATTGCTTTAATGTAATTTTTACTAAATTGCTAGGAAGTTAGTATAGACAGAGCTATAAGGTAAAAGATACTAAAAAAGAGGAATTTTAGAGCTCAGGTCAAATTAAAGAACTAGTAATAAGAACATTTAACTGTATAACAAAATGTAAATTATGGCTTGATGGTATTAATTTATAAAAATTATAACCATCTATTTTTAAAATTGAAGTGATTACAGATCGGTTTAATGACTAGGGATCAGCAGTAATAGATATGTTAAAGAAAAAGAATGAGGCTGCTAAATGTTTTATGTTGTGTTGGATCTCCATTGCAGGTTTCAGCCTTTTTTTTTTTTTTTTAAATATTTTTTGAATTGTAGATGGACACAATATATTTATTTTTATGTGGCGCTGAGGATCAAACTCAGTGTCTCACACGTGCAAGGCAAGCACTCTACTACTGAGCTACCACCTCAGCCCAAGTTTCGGGCCTCTTTTTATGAAGAAGTGGATGTAGATCTTAGGCTAATCAGTCTAATCTGTTGCCCATGAGGAAGAATGTACATTACCTAGTGGATAATCTTTTTTTCTCTGAAAATTACTAATATAGTTGCCTGACCTCACCTTCATTTATGTGCAAATTAACATTTTTGGTGCTGGGGATTGAATTCAAGGCTTTGTGCATGCCAGCTTCAAGAACAGCCATTTTAGAGAGGAAATGTATTTCCAAAATGTTGGCTTTGATTATCTGTTTATCATGACTAATTTTATCTGTTCATTTAGTGAAATCACACCAGAAGGAAGACGGATTACTAAATTAGATCAGATTTTGCTAAATGGAAATAATATAACGATGGTAAGACCCATTAAGCTATTTTATTTAGGTGCTAGTCCTTTTGGCAGAACAGGGATTACAAAACTAACTTGTACTGCTGCTTGCTTCACTAAATGCTCATGGGCCAGTAGTGTCTAAGACTAGGGATTCTCTGATGGTCAGGGCCAAAAGCCTGAGATATTGTAAAGGCATTGGGCCTAAAGATTAATTTGCTTGGGTTTTAGGTTTTAAAAATTTTGTATTTTGTTAGAAATCATTGTTGAGATACATAGTATTAATTTTTAATGTTGGGAATTACAGCCAGATATTGATGACCTGGAGAGAATGGGGATATGAGGGAGGGGGGAAGAGGTAAAGGTGGCTTTGATTAATGGGGAATACATAGGGATTTTTAGATGACATGGTGATATTATTAATACACTCTTTTTCCTCCAATGCAGCTGGTTCCTGGAGGAGAAGGACCTGAAGTGTGAACGAATTTCCTTGACTTATGCTAGATTCCATTTTGTTTTATAATGACAACAAAATAGATTTTTTAAAATCTTTTAATGTTTAGATTCTCTAAAGCTAATTTTCCCGTTAAAGGGAAATGCTCTGAAGATGTATTGTATGACCATTTTTCTAAGTTAATCATGATTATCTTGGAAAAAGAAGAAATTAGTTTGTTTTTTGAAGACTAAAAAATAAAGGTGTTTTTGGTTAACTGTTATTTATTACACTACAGTAGCCAGAGGAACAAATATTATAGTTGTTTTGCCATTTGCTTTCCTGTCATTTTATATCAGTTTGCATCCTCATTTATATTATTATTTGATTTCTAAACAATTATTTCAAACAAAATGATGAACTTTGATTTTGAACAGGTATATTTAAAATACCTGAAATGATTCTAGAATTAAATTTGAACTCTGGTATTTTGTGCTGAGGATTTTTCTTTGACATTGCTGAGTTTTGGGTTCTAAGACATTTTTACCTGGTAGGACCAAAGGGGCTAGGGATTGATTCGTTTTCTAAATTTGGTGTGGGGTTTGATGATAATCTTGTGGATCCAGTTAACTCACTCTGGTTCCATTAAAAAGTGAAACAAAGCATAAACAACAACAGAAGTAAATTGGACTTCCTCAAAATTAAAAACTTTTGTTTCAAAGCACACCATCATGAAAATAAAAAAGACAACCCACAGAGTGGGGGGAAGTTATTTGTAAACCACATGGCCGACAAGGGACTCATCTAAAATATAGGATGAATTTTTATAAGTCAATAATAGAAAAGACAATCCAGTTTAAAAATGGGCAAAGGATTGGAATAGACATTGTTCCAAACAAACACAAATGACCAATAAGCACATGAGAAGGTGTTCACATTGCCATTTTAGGGAAATGCAGATCAAAATCTCACTGAGAGGAAATGCAAATCAAAATCTCACTGAGATCGTACTTTGTATACACTATAGGATGGCTGTAATAAGGGAGAAAATCACAAGTATTGGTAAGGAAATGATAAAATTAGAACTCTGGTACATGTTGATATGAATGTTAAATGATGCAGCAGCTGTGGAACACATTTTGAGGATTCCTCATAAAGTTAAAAAGAAAGTTACCATATGACCAAGCACTTCTACTCTAGGTTTATAGTCAGTAAACTAAAAACATACCACATAAACCCCTATATACATATGTTCACAGCAGCAGCATTTATAATAGCTGTGAAGTGGAAACCCAAATGTCCAATGGATAAATGTGATTTATTCATACAATGAAATATTACTCAGCTATAAAAGGGATGAAGTGGGCTGGAGTTGTGGCTCAGTGGTGGAGCGCATGTGTGAGGCACTGGGTTCGATCCTCAGCACCACATAGAAATAAAGGTATAAAGAATATCCATAATAATAATAAAAGGAAAAAAGTACTTTTTCAAGCAACAGTGGAGATGAATCTTGAATATTATGCTAAGCTAAAGAACCCAGACACAGTAGACCATATGAAATGTTCATAACAGGCAAATTCATAGAAAGCAGCTGCTGGAGGCTGGGTGGAGAAAGGAAAGTGACTTAGAATTTCTGGGGTGGTAAAAATGAAGTTCAGGGTGGAGGGTCATACAACTTTGTGAATATACTAAGACCAACTTGTACACTTTATTTATTTATTTATTTTTAATTTTTATTGTTGTTCAAAACATTACATAGTTCTTGATATATCATATTTCACACTTTGATTCAAGTGGGTTATGAACTCCCATTTTTACCCCGTATACAGATTGCAGAATCACATCAGTTACACATCCATTGATTTACATATTGCCATACTAGTGTCTGTTGTATTCTGCTGCCTTTCCTATCCTCTACTATCCCCCCTCCCCTCCCCTCCCCTCCCCTCTTCTCTCTCTACCCCCTCTACTGTCATTCATTTCTCCCCCTTGTATTATTTTTCCCTTTCCCCTCACTTCCTCTTGTATGTAATTTTGTATAACCCTGAGGGTCTCCTTCCATTTCCATGCAATTTCCCTTCTCTCTCCCTTTCCCTCCCACCTCTCATCCCTGTTTAATGTTAATCTTCTTCTCATGCTCTTCGACCCTACTCTGTTGTTAGTTACTCTCCTTATATCAAAGAAGACATTTGGCATTTGTATTTTAGGGATTGGCTAGCTTTACTTAGCATAATCTACTCTAATGCCATCCATTTCCCTGCAAATTCTATGATTTTGTCATTTTTTAATGCAGAGTAATACTCCATTGTGTATAAATGCCACTTTTTTT